ATACATACATACATACATACATACATATACACACATACACACATACACACAACAGCCTATGGCAAAACTCTCCCTGCACTGAAATCTGGGCTGGTACAACAGGATGTGCTCAAAGGTTTTGTTTTTCTTTTGACCACCTTGGCCTGTGATAGATTTCATTCAATCACTGCTACCCAAGGTCCCTAATGTTTAGGTATGTAGTACTTGTCAAAGCAGCACACACAAATACCAGGATCCAAGGTTACCAGAGAGTCAAACCGAGAGCATCACTCTGACACTTCACTCTTCTCTTCCCTCCTCCAACCCCCAAACAGTATATCCTGCTTCCACCTCTTCCCCAGGTAATTGCTGTAACCCTACTCAGTCCTCCACATCGTATAAATATAATGGTACTTCCTCAAACCACCTTCCAGATTTTTATGGTCCAAACCCATGGTCAACTATCTAAGGGGCTATTGGGCTGACTAGCCTGGAGCTAAACAACAAGCTGGCATACAGAAACCTTCTCTGGATTGGACCAGTGGTTGGTTGGTTGGTTGGTTGGCTGGCCCGCCCCCCGGTGCACATCAACATTGACATTCCTCTCATCACTTTTTCTATGTACTAACAACTGCATACAGCTAGCACCCTACAGAGATACTCCCAGACATCTGCCCCCCTCAAAGTCACTCAGATCCTCACACTTTTTATTCCTTCTTTCAACAAACTTATTTTAGGAGCTCACTGTTCACTCACTGACAAGATAATCAGTGTTATTAACTCATCAGTAACCCCCCCACCCCATCACAAGCAATTCAATCAACAGATTCACCTAGTAGTGGCCCTCAAGAGGCCCATTAGGGCTCACTCTAAAAACAACAGCACATTTATCCTGACAATTGCAATTTTATTACAGAAGAAACACTTTGTGTATGCGTTACCCTTGCCCTAGTTTCTGACATGTGTGTATTCACAGAATTTCAAGCACAGAAGAAAGCTTTTTTTCCCCCTCTTTGACAGAAAACATGTAGCAAAAGATGACAATACAGATACACAGTCATTTTTATTTGGAATCAGGCGGCATGGTAGTACAGTGGTTAGCACAGTGGCGTAACAGGAAGATGCACCTTGGCCACCTGGGGTCTCTCTGTGTTGAGCTTGCATTGCCTGCGGTTAAATTAATTGGTGATTCTTTGCCATAGACATGTGTGGTTCTATGTCTCTCTGTGTTAGCCTTACAATACACTGTCGATCTGCCTCTCACCCTGTGACTGCTTGGAGCAGGTCATCTGGAGCTGGTGGTTTGATCCCTGACTGCTCCACTCTGTGTTCAAACGTATCTTTGGGCAAGATACTGAACCCTGAGTTACTGACAATGCATTCATCAAGGAGAGTGGAATATAAAAAATATAGCTATATAAGAACCAGTACATTTCCCATTTCAAATGGGTAAAATCTCAGCTATGTAACTGTACTCTATAGACAATACATTAGTTGCTATCAATACTTTAGATTGAATCATAAAAAGCCAATCATTGACTGTGTCAGTCTTCAATAGAGAATGGATACGCATTTACAATCTTTACAGTCATGCTCCATGTCACTAGACATTTTTGAGGATTGAGAAAACGGAAGAGTAATGTTTAGCCATCTAAAAAGAGAGCGATGATTCACAATGACCTCTAGCAGCTTGTGATAAGCATTTGCGACTCTGGAAAATAACTGCTAGCTACTGCCCTCATTAAGGCTCCAGTGCTAACAAGACAATTTTAGGAGCATTTTTCATGGTTGGCTAAATTTAACGACGGCTACACCTGATTCATCCACTCTATCCGTGTTAAAAAGCTCTCAGGTGAATAGGATGTTTACATGTATATTTTTTTTTCCTTTAGGGGATTTCGAAAATGCACCTCGAGTCAAAAGTTTTCTTGAAATATCTAAGTAGACAGTAGCTGGAAGGATTTAGCATGAGGTGAGAAATGTGCGAGAGGGGCTTGAGACTGGCCTTGTTAGGCAAGACAAGCTGCGTTGTTCAGGTTCAGGCCTTGTGATAAGCTAACTGACACACGCCAGCACTCACTCGGCTCACTTCAGCACACCGGCAGTCGGTTAATTACCGAGTCCGTTGGAGGTTACCGTGTGATTTCAAGTGAGATTTCAACTTCAACATCGGCCTTCTCGCCGCTTACCGTCGGGATTTCTCCACACATCGTTAGCGCCAGGAGGGGGGTCGTTTTAAAACCACCCGGCACTGACAACGTCACTGTGGCTCGTGTATCGACTGTGATCACGTTTAAATGTCAGCGCCCTCCCACACGCGAGCTTCACACAAACCAACCAACTCCCTCTGCCTCGCGCGTTAAAAGTGAAAAACCCAATAACGGTGTCATTCATTTTTACCTCGCCGTTGCTCACGGTAGCTTTGGTTACTCCGCTCTCCTGCGTCGCCATCTTTCTTCGTCTCTACAAGCGCACCACACTGCTGGCTGGGAAACTGCGCGTAATGTCGCGAGAAGACTGTAGTTACGTCTTCAGAGAAGTGATCGAAAATGCGGTGAATAAAGTCAGGTGATCTTTTTTTCTGTTTTTTGGGCAGGGCCGGCGAAACCCCGTGACACACTTCGTCAGGAATGTTCGATCATGTAACAATAAAATGAAATAAATATATATAGTTAATTAATAATAAAAAATATTATTATATCACCTAATGAATGCCTTAGTAGATTTTTTTATGATTATTGCAGCTTTATATGGAAGTTTATTTCCGAAAGTGGGGAGGATAAAGACATACTATCCACAAGGCTAAATTTCGGGTTATTATCGCAAAATTTGGACTTCTGAGAAAATAACTCCAAACTGAGAAAATAAAAAAAAATTTAGAAAAGGAATTTAAATTTTGAATTGCTAATCAGCAAAAAGTACACCAAAATAAAAGCTTGCTTCTCATCATTGGTGTTATCTTTCTACTCATCCATCCATAGTTCTCACTGGTGTTGCATATAACCCCTCTCATTGGGTCATAGCCATTAATTACATGCTGTCAGTCCTTGTCCATGTATGCCTTATTATAGCTTCTCAGTCCACTTGTCATACTGTTAAGCTAGGGGATTTCCAAGTCAGTATGTCTTTAGTTATGTATCTCTCGCTCATACTCTAAAGTGAGTTTGGATAGCATGGGAGTTTAACCCAAAGACCCTTACCAGAGCTGGGATTTGAAACCCTGACCTACTGTTCCAAAGAGAGCATTGTTGTCACTACACTATCCAGCTGGCTACAGGAGGAGATAGATACCACGGATGTCAAAACACAATAACTCCTTGCAATGCACGGAGATCTCCATCTGAAGTCCTGCACCCTGAGGCTCTGCGAGCTGCAGAAAGAGGGAGGGTGAGGAGTGAGGTTAGTGAGTGTCGAGCCATGATCCAGGAGGAAACACAGAGCAGGAACAATCACTGAAGGACGAACCCCTGTATGGGATGTTCTATTGACATATAGAAGAAGTGGCTCACATCAAGAAATCCCACTAATGGCTAGAAAAAGCCTAAAGGACAGCACAGAGGCTCTGATGATGGCAACATAAGAACAGGGTCTAAGCCCCAGATTTATAGAGGCAGGAGTTTAGCACAGCTGACAGCTGATAAGTTGCAGACTGTGTGCAAAGCTGCAGCATGTAGTACCACAATGGAGGATAAAAGCTGAGATCGCATACACTGAAAGGCAAAAACAAGTGGCCAGAGGTCCTGATGAGAGACACAATTGAGAAAATATAGTACCAGGGGCCGAAGGAAGAACTGATGTGAGTCGAGTGAGTTTCTTTTGCCTGGAGAAGCTGTAAAACAAAATGGAAAACAGATTGACATATGATAAATGAATATTACTGCAAATCAAATAGATTCACTCACTTTAATAAGCTATAAGTGTACTGGTAAACACTTCTCATTTCTAATCATTACGCTTTGGCACATAACACCAGTACCTCAGATAGACACAGATTTTAAGGAAGAGAGAAAACACATGGACAATCTTCCATGTGTGACATTTCCTTAAAAGGACTTTTACATTTGTTCTATAAGCAACAGAGGACAAAGACATGACGAGGTTTTGATCAGTAACATAAAACAAAGCATAAATAAGGCCATTTGAAACACAGTCCAAGAGTGAGTGTTGTGAGCACAATGAGGACAGTTCTTTTTTTTTTTTTGCTTTACCTTGTGTTTTAACTTGATGGCCTTCGAGTATGTACGATCAAAATGCATCTGAAGGTACTTTGTACACTTCACAATAAGTGAAGTGGTAATCATAATCAGGTTTATTTCAGAGTTTACTCAAGTATGAATCGATACATAATGAAAGGTTTAGAATCAAAGCTGACTCATTAACATTTAAATCATTTCCTCTGGGACTAATAAAGTATTCTGATTCTGATGTTCTCTGTGAAATTTAACATGCTGTGTTTACATTAAACTGCAGCAATTAAAGACTTGAAAATATGTTGGTGTTTTTTTTGTTTTTGTTTTTTTTTGATGCAATATAAAATCCATCTCAGGTTTCAGACTTGAGTAACAAGTTTCACCTAATCACTGGAATAAACTCATAGTTTTTGGATTCACGCTTAGATTTTTGTTTTAAACATCCAGTTTATATACAGTAGAGCTCAGGCTGAGCAATAAGTGAGCAATCACTGGTCACTAGAGAAAAAAATGCATTCTCCATCACCAACCACCCACCCAATGAAAAGTTGAATTTCAGTGATTTAGTGGTTGCTCGAAGTCATATTTTTGGGTTGCCAGTGGGTCGCTGGTCGGTCTGTAGGCATGTGTGACTGGAGCTTTAAGTAAATTCAGATTGCTCAGTGAAGAAAATAGTAAAACTGAGCCTCATCAAATTTTAAATGTGAAAGCTCTTTTAGTCCAGTGGTTCAACACACGCATGATACATTCAAGTGCACAAATTTAATGTTTAACAAGGAGAATCATGTCACAGAAAAATAAATGGAAATTACATTTTATATTTGCTCTGAAAGCTAAAATCTGGACTGTTGCACATCCTACTTCCAAACAAAAATAACGAATTTAACTTTTAAAGAAAAAAGAAGAATATCGACCCTTGCACACTTTGGCACAAAAATTTCAGGCACGGTTTGTCGATGAGGAAATTTTTAACTGCAAAGTACAACAAAAAAAGAGTAGAAAATATATCTGGTGAGATGGGATCTACTGTTTCTTCCTCTTCTGCCAAAATCCTTGTGAGTCAGACATTAAATTTGCAAGGGAGCAAGAATCTTAAACGACAGGAAGAAAAAGCATCTCGGGTTTAACTCACTTATACAAAGTTAGTAACACAATGCCGCTTTTTATCTTAGTGTCAAAGTGTGGCTGGGTGATTTTTTTCCTACCAGCAAGTCAGTCTTTAAACCAAAAAAAAAATGCAAAGACTACAGATAACTATAAACAGCTATATACAATAATCTTTGTACACAATGACATTTACTAAACATGAGAACAAAAATAAAGTACAATTACAGGAAGCGCTATGAATTGAACAGAAGTGTTTGTAGTAAGGAACAAACAACAGAAACCTTCATTTTGCTGCAAAAAAGAAAAAAAGAAAAAAATCCCCAACCTTATGAAACGCCTGTTGGTACGAGAACCCAAAAGTCTGTCAAGTTACTGAGAGAGTGCTTTAGGATCATGCCTTCCAGAGAAGCACAGGCAAAACAATTCTAATTTGCCACACTAACATGATGCGCCATCTTCTCTGCTTGGTGAACGGATAAAGGTGCGAGGTTGGGGCAGAAAACTGTGCAGTCCTACATCTCGTCTAAACCGTAGTCCTCTTCAGGAAAATCCCCCACAGTCACACTCAGGGGCTTCACAAACGCACCGTATTTGCTCTCGCACTCAAAGTACTGCTTCCCTTCGACACTACAGAGATACAATAAACAAGGCAGAGTCAAAAATCAGGACCAGCGTCACTGAAACTTTGAATTATTTAAAAACAACGCCAGAAAAAGGCCCTCTTACGTTCCATTGTGTTTGCCCAGTGGTTCATCGTACTTCACACCCACCCAGTAGCCCGGCTTGAAATCTGTTGTTCCTGCAAGAAATGCAACACTTATTGAGCTCTTGCAGGGCATATTAGGAAGACTTTGACTTCACAATAATGATATTATATGAAAAAAGAAGTGCAAACCCCCGCCAAAGCAGCTCACTCTCTGGGAAGTATTTACTTTTAAGGAACTAGTATTTTATTTTCCTAGAAGTTTGTAGTGCAGTAAAAATAACACATTTTGGGGTCAACTTGAAATAAAGGCAGATGTGAAATGTAAGAGTGAGGTCAGAGGTCACTTGCTATAGTTTGACAATACACACCAGACTTGTCATAGTTATAAGCCTTCTTGTCAATTATCAATTATCAAGTTGATAAGGGGGCGATCGTGGCTCAAGAGTTGGGCGTTCGTCTTGTAATCGGAAGGTTGCCGGTTCGAGCCCCGGCCCGACAGTCTTGGTCGTTGTGTCCTTGGGCAAGTGTCAGTGCCAGTGTCCGGCAGCCTCGCCTCTGTCAGTGCTTCAAACGCCCCAGGGTGGCTGTGGCTACACTGTAGCTTGACTTGAATGTGTGTGTGGATGATTGTGTATAGTGTAAAGCGCTTTGGGGTCCTTAGGACCATACAAATACAGACCATTACCATTTTACCATAATCATTAAGTTAACCTTGAAGACCTTGGCAGATGTCAGTTTTACTGGATTGTTAACATGACCCCCCTCTACACCACTACGAAGTTTTAGAAGAATTCATTCAAAACTTTTTAAGCCATCGTACAGACAGAAAGAATGGCACGCATGGAAATGCTAACAACAACATAACCTCTTTGGGGACCTTATTGAAGTTAACAAACTACCTAAACTGAATCACTTTTATTTGCTATGTTTTTGGAGGTTGACACTTGGCGTTAGTACTCAGGTAAAGCTGCATTCAAACTAAACTAGAACATGTTCACCTCACAGGAAATATAATTCGATTTTCTAGGCGGACTTAAAACCTGCTAATAAAATAGATTAAACAAAACAGTAAGGTTAGGTTAATTGGAAACAATAAATTGCCCATAGGTGTGAATACGGGAGTGAATGTGAGTGCCAATGTGTTAGCCCTGCGACAGACTGGCGACCTGTCCAGCATGTACCCTGCCTCTCGCCATAAGACAGCTGGGATAGGCTCCAGAGCCCCCCACAACCCTGAAAAGTATAAGTGGAATCGGATGGATGGATGGATGGACAAAACACACAGAATCCAAACGTGATATTTAGCGTACTAAAAAAAAAAAAAGAGTTTGTCCTCCACTGACGTCACAGATTTGGGAATGGGCCTTAGATAAATCACAGCAAAGTCTGCTCTGCAGGACAGAAAATCCTCAGCAGCACAGGGTTTACACTAATGTCCTACACAAAGTAAACCAGCTCAGCTTTATCCACACTTACCAACATACATGACTGTGCCAAGCTTCGTGGGCTGACCGGGGACCTGCACTTTGCAGCGGCTGCCAACAGCAATGGCATCGGCAGCAGCCTTCTGCTCCTCTTCCCGTGCAGCATTCTCCGCCTTCTTCTTGGCCATTTCTTCCTCATTGTAGCGACCCACACGTTGCTTCTTCATAAATGACCTGGCTGTGTCTGAAGGAAAGACACAGTTTGTGATAAATGCAAAGCTCTTCAAAACAGACTGAAGTCTATTCATCTTCATTCTCATGAAGTAAGTCATCCACATTGGAACCAGCTATCAATAGTTAGCTTAAAAAAATACACAGAACAAGTGCAGAATGCAACTAACGATCATGGACATACTTCTCAATCAGCTGACTTATTCACCAAACATCTTTAATATAAATTCATCCTCTTGATTTATTTAATACAAAAATAAAGGACACTAAAGAGAGGCAGACTGTACCTGTTCTCTTATCATAAGCATCATCTGGGAGCTCAAATTTCTCCACTTTGGAAACATCAGTGAACTCGCCCATCTGCCCGCCACTTCTATCAACAACCTGTAAGAGAAACAACGTGAAAGACAGGCAATTATTAAGTCACAACAGCGTGACTTAATAACAGCCTATAAAAGCCACCAGAACTTTAGCTTTTAGCAACTTAGATATGATCTTTTGTTTGTTGTTGTTAGTGTGGTAATTGTAACATTATTGTTGTTTAACAATAAATCAGTTTTACACTTACTGGACAATTTAAGTGAGTGCTAGTGTATTTAAATGGAAAGGATTATTACCTTTTCAATCATTAAAACACTATCTGCACAGCAGAGTTCTTATTTTTGGACATCAAAGTTTCTGGATGCATGCAGAGTGAATAGATTTGGGATTCAGACACTTAACTAAAAACCCCATTCAATGCTAGAGACGATGCTCTATCCCAATATATTCAACTGTGTAGTTAAACCAGAATCATGTAATGCCAGTGTTACTATGCTGAAATGTAAACCAGTTTAGTCTAGTCGTAGGAATTAAAGGATTTTTGTCTAAAGTAAAAAATATAGAAAAATCCCACACTTGCAGTGATTTCTTCATTTGTTGCACATTTGTTACATTTACACGTTCATCAACAAATTATATTAGACAAAGATAACCCGAGTATATACGAATGGCTTTTAAATGATGTCCACATTAAACACGTTGCTTAGTGCACTGGCTCGAGTCTTGGTCCTTGTGAAGCTCTCCCAAGTTCTTCTCTTGACATTAATTTGCTTAAACTCAAAACTTCCAACTGCACAGTGCTTGACATGGATGACACTGCGCATCAGTTCAATGGTGACTTGTTGACAAATGGGCCTGAATAGGGAAGGAACTGATATTGGAGTTCATCGGGGACAGGAGATGCCTGCAAAGAGTATCTAGATTGGATACTTTTCATTGTTTTTAAAAACTTGGTTTCCCTTCTGCTTTGTGTATGTTGCAACACTCTTCTCTGTGGCTGGCTAACAGACCAGCAGCAGCACAATCGAGACTGGCCTACAGACTAGTTGTACTTTTGAAACTAACCCATCAACAACAGATAGACAGTCCAGAGCTCCCCACACACTACCACAGCTGAATCTCCATTAAAGAATCAGACAGTAATTCATTACGTGACCTCATATACATGCTTAAAAACAAAGTGGTATAATCCTGACTGAGGTTAGAAGTTTTGTAGTGAACACATTATTGTTCTAAAATTTTAAATAAATCATCTCAGAGTAAACATTTAAAGCTGAAAGCTGATCATTCAGCCAGCATATGTCATTATGTCTCTCTCTGTGAAAGTAACTTTGACAGATAGCACCCCAGATGGCAGGAGGACCTGCATGTTCAATTCAAGTGAAATAAACTAAAAACCTGTCTCAACCTGTATTTACTCAAACATCACAGTGATCTGAGCCACAGTATTACAAGAAGCTCCCAACAGAGCTGGGACATACGTGTATTCTGCAGTCATCATCCACAGGATACGATCCTAGCAGAGCTTCATTCTCATCCATTTTTTGCAGGAACTTGTCAGATATGCTGAATAACTCCAGGTCCATGCAGGAGACCGGTGCACCCACAATCATCTCCAACTTTCCCTGAATGCAAAGTTGCAAATAGTTCATGTAACACAAAAGAGGTGACGTTATCAACTGAATGTGTCATTTCAATATCAACAGATATATTAACAAAGAGAAAACCCAACAACAGACCCATCCTTGAGGGTTTTAGAGGTGCGCTGTATGCTGTCTCACCTTCAGTTCTGCTATACTGATCCCTCTGTTGAACCTGCGCTGCACCTCGAAGGAGGAGAGGGTGCTTGTTAAGCGCACATTCACCGTGGGATTGGTTATTACTGTCACTCCGCTGTCCATTTTCCTGTCTCCTTGGACTCGGGTATTAATCAAACACTGAAAACAGGAATAAAAAATAACGTGACCCATTCAGCCAACGGGACTGAAGCTCATACGCCATCTCATAGCTGCAAACAAATTTAAGTCAATAGTCAAACAACCACAAAGACTTCCAAAAAACTGCTCCTTTTCCACCGATAGTAGCAACTGAAGCCCTTCTCTGATATTAATCCTGTATGAAGTTAAATTTTACATATATGCTTAGTCTCTCGTGTTTATTCGTCATATTAGCTGTGATCGTATAATTTTAAATAACCATTTTTAGCTGTGTAGTTTAGAGTAGCTAGCTACGTTAGCCACTGGGCGGCTAGCAGAGTCACGTTGGACTCACTCGGGACCCTGAGACAGACGGCAAGGTTGCCATAGTTACTTACAAATTATGTATATTTTCCTCGATGGTGCTGAAAAAGGCCTTTGATCTTTGTATCTACAATTAACCGGAAGTATTCATGGCTACTTGATTATAATAGCAGTGAAAATGGTGCATGTAGCCTAGATCTGTGGGTTTGCCAGAAAATTATAACCTCAATTCCTGCTACGCCCAACTCTGGAAGGTTCCACCCGCCTCCAAACTGGAACACGGCCAATCACAACGTAGGAAGGAGAAAATTTAACCAATAGCTTTACGATACGAAGAAACAGACCCTCAAGACCCGCCTATTGACCGCTAGATTGGCACAAATGGTGGCCAATCATTCGTCAGGAGTAAATGCGACCATTGAAATAACCACATAGTGGCGCTGAAGTCCAAACTAAACTATGTAGAAGACTAAGCTGGAAACGTTCTCTTTATTATGGATTTGATTTAAAATATTTTTTTAAGACAGAGTATTCGTAGAGTTTGATTGTAAGCACTACGCTCTATTATACAATTTTTACCCTATTGCTATTTCATACTTGATCGACTAACAAAGAAATCTCCCCTGATAAAAGCCAGATATGTAGTGAGTAAATTAAAGCACAGACAGAAAAGAGAAGTGTCAAAAAAGCTGAGAGCTTCAAGAAAACATTGGGGGGGTGACACAAGCCTACAGCCCCACAGTGAGGATTTACATTCCTGTGGTTGTTAATGGAGATGCAGGTCTGCAAAGCAGCATGGTCTCATTCATAGCTCATTTGCAAGTCATATTATAAAATACACTGGGCTTCTTTCTCTGTTTGACACATGATTTTTCATAAATCTTTGAGCTTGGGTACAAGACCTGTAAATACGCAACCTTTCAGCTTCAGTAACTGAAATAGTGTGTCACATACAGAGTAGCA